ATGGGGGGGGGGAGGAAGGTATGGAGGGCAACCATGGATGCCAGGGACAATGGGGGGGGAAGGTGGGACATAGCAGAGGGTGGGGGATGGGGAATCAGGGATGGCAAGACAAAGGGCAAGGTATGCAGGACGTAAGAATTGGAAAATTATTTGCTGAGAACATATATGTGGATGTACTTGATTGAGACAATGCACAGTGTATTTTCGATGGAAAATCCATTTGTGTGTTGTGATGGTGTAAAGTGAATTAATAAATTAAAAAAAAAAAAAAAAAAAAGAAAAGCGTGATACTTACCTGTATACAAAAGGCACTTGCTAACATCTAATACCTAAGCTTATTTTCCCCTTCAATAGCTATTTCTCAAAAATGAAGAAATCTATTTCCCATCGGCTTTGCCTAGGTTTCAAGTAGTAGTCAAGAACCACATACTTTTATTTACTTATTTATTAGTTATAAGAGAGATTTTTGCTATAGGGCATGTGTGCTCACCAGAGAGATAAAGAGAGAAAGAAAGCGAGAAAACACTGACCAGAGGGAATGGCCACACCGCAATCCCTTCTCCTCCTGGGATTTTGGGCACACGCACGCACGCGCGCACTTGCACGTACACACACACACACACACCCCTCTGGTGTGAGTTTTAAGCTGACAGGCCCGGGACTTGAACTGGGGTTGACTTTGTGGGAGACCAGCGATATAACCATTATGCCATCTGTTGGTCCCTACATATTTTTATTAAAATAAAAAATACACACACAGATTCTACACAGTTGTACAAATGCCATTAATTAAATGATTCACGTTTTTCATAACTGACTTTTTCATAACCGAATACATACACGTTTCTGCATGTTATTTCTAATTCTCTATGAAGTTTTACTATAGTATTTTTATTAATTTAAGATTTATTTAACTTTGGGACTGGAAGATGATATAATGGTTACATTGCTGGACTCCCATGTAATTGACGGTGGTTCAAGTCCTGAACCTGGCAGCTTAAAACTCTTGGTGGGCAAGTGTGTGCGCATGCCCAAAATCCCAAGAAGAGAATAAAGGAAAAGGGATTTGGGAGTGAGTAATTTCTCACTTTCTGACTCTCTCTGTCTCTGGCAAGTGTACACATCCTCTAGCAAAAAAATCTCTCTCCAAAAAAGGGGAAAGATTTAACTTTATTTATTATTACCATTATTTTTCAATTTCCTATAGGGTATGTGTGCTCACCAGAGAGAGGGGTAAAGTGAGAAAGCTAGCTGCCAAGCCTGGTACTGGGACTGCGGTTGGCCATATGGCAGTATAGAGGAACTGTAAAAATCTGCCACAGGAGGAATGATGATCCATGGTCAGAAAAGTTACTGCAGCTTAAACAGGAAACCCTTCTTGTTCAGGACTGTCATAGACACAGTTTGCAAAAAGTGCAGCTATTGGTTAATGCAATACAGTGTCAATTAGTGTACATTCCTGAAGTCTTTCATCTGTTGTAGCTTTTCATTGTATCAGGTATATTGCTGTGTAAATTGTGGTGGTGGTACCACAAATAAAAAAATTAAGCAATTTTTAAATTAAAAAAGATATATATCCAATGCATAAGATATGAGTACATTTAAAAAAAAGAGAGAGAGATACAAGTACAGCTGCACTGGCTGACGGGCAGTGAGAGATATGTGTAGCCTGACCACCTGTATCCCCTTTCCAATGATACTTCAAACTACTAACTTATACAACTCTAAAAATATTTTAAAGGGGACCAGTAGATAGATGATGGTTATGTCACTGAACTCCCTCTTAGTTGACTACAGTTTGAGTCCCAGACTTGGTGGCTTAAACCTTACACCAGGTGCATGTGAGCCCCAAATCCCAAGAAAATAGAGGAAAAAGGATTGTGGCATGGCCATTCCCTCCGGGGTGTGTGTGTGTGTGTGTGTGTGTGTGTGTGTGTGACTTCTCGCTTTCTGGGCCAGCAGGTGGCGTAGCGATTAAGGATGCTGGATTCCTACATTGCTGATCACAGTTCAAGTTCTAGATCTGGTGGCTAGCTTTCTCGCTTTCCCTTTCTCTGTCTCTATCTGGTCAAATTGAAAATAATAACAACAAATGGAATTAAATAAATAAATAATTCTTTAAAGAAAAAAACATTTACAGAAAAAGTTGTCTAAAAAACAAAACAATATGAAAAATATTCTAATCTCTGATTATGTACCATTGTCTTTCTACCCAGTCTCTCAGCAATTAATGATGTAATATTTTCCCTGGCTTTATTTAGCAGTTGTTTTTGCTAACAATTCCTTATATGTTTATTCTCTAACAAGTACTACATTATTATTCTGTAATGTCAATTTACTTAAACTTTTTAGGTCTAAAGATACAAGAGATCCAGCCTAAATACTTTCTTGTACTTAGGCAACAACTAAATACATGCTCTAAAAATATATACAGATACAGTTATTAAAAACATGAAACAGGGACCAGCAGTTAGCATAATGGCTATGTCACTGAACTCCCATATAGTTGACCACGGTTCGAGTCCTGGACCCAGTGGCTTAAACTCACGCCAGGCGCATGTGCATGCATGCCAAAAAGATCTTGAGAGGAGAATGGAGGAGAAGGGATTGCAGCATGGCCATCCTCCCTGGGGGAGGGGAGATTTCTTACTTTCCATCTCTCTGTCTCTCTCTGTCTTTCTTTCTGGTGAGCACAATCGTCCTATAGCAAAAACCTTTCAAAAAAAAAGAAAGAAAGAAAGAAACAGAGCCAACAGGTAGCATGATAGTTAAGGTACTAGACTCCCACATGGTAACTGTGGTTGAGTCTCAGATCTAGCAGCCTGATTTCTCACTCTGTGTCCTCCCCCCCACCAAACACACACACACTCTCTCTGGTGAGCACAAGTGCCCTACGCAAAATTTTTTTAAATTAATAATAATAAATAATATCAAATAAAGAATTCTTCTCAAAAGACTATAAAAAATAAAATATAAATGAATACAATTATTAAAAACTTCAAGTTACAGAATAAACAGCATTCTTTAAATATTAAATGAACACTCCACACTGTGCTTTTAATGCTAGTGTACATTGCATTTTTCATTGAATACCTTATCGATGTGCACTGGATAATCACTTGAAACCAGATTCTGGCATCTTTCTCGATTTCCAATCATCTTTCTGAATTCAAAGAGTCTATTATAGAAAAGAGGCAAAAGTGAAAAAAAATTCATGTTTTATATCATTTATTATATCCATTACACTGAGGCTAATGACTGATTAAAAATTAGTAAATCCAGTTTACAAACTGTATTAAAATTTAATTTTGATCATTAAAGAAAAAGATTAAGCTGCTGGTTTGTTTTCAAACTGAACACATTTCCGAAAACTGATAACAGTGGGAGATAACAGTGTTCAGAAAGCAATTAACATTTATAAAACTCAAAGTTAAAGGCACCAATCCTGAAAACTAATTCATGTTTTGTAAATGTTAGGGGGCATATGTACATGCACGAGACTGAGAGAAAAAGTGTATGTGCACACACACACCCACCATTTATAATGGATCCTGATCATGCCACAATCCCTTTTCCTATAATTCTCTATCCATCCTGCCAGGATCCTGGCACTCATGCAAATACCCAGCATGTTTTTCAAGCTCACACTCTGTTCAGCCATGCGGTATCTGGCTTCTTCTGTGTAGTGTTTAACTGCTGCGCTAAGAGGCCAGCCCTGAAAATTCATCCTCTGAAATCCAGATTTTTCCCATGAGTTACAATACATTCCAGTTTCACAGTCATTATGAATGCGAATTATCTAAGAAAATTTAGCCTATAGAAACTACATACACCTATCATCAGCTTAATAATTATTGAAATTAAAAATCTAGTATGTGTTTCTGAGAGCACTTTATTTTAAAATCTAATATTTTGGGGGCCAGCAAGGTGGTGTGGTGGATAGGGTACTGGACTCTCAAATAGTCGACTGCAGTTTGGGACTGCTAGTCCCAGACCTAGTAGCTTACTTTCTCACTTTCCCTCTCTCTCTGTATGTCTCTCTTTGGTAAGTACACATGCTCTGTAGCAAATTAAAATAATAATCATAATAAAAATAATGATAAATAAAATTAAAGAAATAATTCTCTAATTTTTTTTTTTTTTTTTTTTTTTATTTTGTTTTTTTTTTTTTTTTTAGTTTGCTACAAGGTGTTTGCACTTGTTGGAAAGGGATTGCAAAACAGAGACAGAGAAGGCGGGAAAGTGAGGATTCACTCCCTGAGAAGGATGGCCAGGCCACAACTTCTTCTCCATTCTCTTCTCAAGATTTTGGGCACGCAAGGACACAGGCTGGCATGTTTTTCAAGCCAATGGGTCCAGGACTAGAACAGTTCAACTGGCCAAGTGGGATCTAGCTGCTTAAACGTCCATGCCAACTGCTGGCCCCAAAATCTGAATTATTTAAAAAATATCAATAATTTGGGGGCCAACAGGTGGTATGGTAGTTAAGACACTGGACTCCCACATGGCTAACTGGGGTTCGAGTCCCAGACCTAGCAGCTTCCTTTCTCACTCAATCTTTCTCTCTCTGTCTCTCTCTGGTTGAATTAAAAATAATAATAATAAATAAAATTAAAATCATTCTTACAAAAATGTTATTTCCTTAAAAATATCAATAGTTCAACAGAGGACCAGAGAAAAGGGACTGCAGTATGACCCAACCCAGTGAAGGACACTTATCTCTTTCTCTCTTATTCTCAAGGGCACATGTATATGTTCTATCATGAGTAAAAGAAAAAAATTAAAATTAATTATAATAAATATATAAATATTTTTATTTGTACAATTTATGATGATATGGGCTAAAACTTACATAATTTAAAAATAGTTAAAACTTAAAGAAGAAAGAAAACATGAAAGAAAAAATACATTTTGTATATAGATTAATGTTTAATTTGCTAATTACCTATATTTGAGAATAAAGGATTTTATAACAAAAATAAAACCGTAAATGTTCACTAAAACAACAAATACAGAACAAATATTCGGGAAAAAAAAAAACTTACCTTTTGAGATCCTCTGGCCTTCCCCATCCTCTGATAAAAAGTTTTGTGAGGAGAAGTCTCCGGTATAGAATATCTAACTTGCTCACACCCATTAGCAGCAAAGAAGCATCTATGAAACAAAATTTAAAACTTGAAAGTTTTTAAATCTATCAAACCAGCAGGTCAGCATTTGCTTTGAATATCACATAAAACTTAAGATTAAGGGGACCAGCAGGTGGCGTGGTGGTTAAGGTACTGAACACTTCCCACATGACAGACCAAGGTTCAAGTCCCAGACCTGGCACCTTGTTCTCTCACGCTTTCCCTTTCTCTCTCTGGTCAAATTAAAATAAATGAATGAATAAATAAAATTAAATAAATAATTGTATTTTAAAAAAAACTAAAGATTGAGAGTAGATCCTTAAATTTATTGCTTTAGAAATAAGATACAAGATATGGGGAAAGAGAGATCTGCAGGTAGTATGGTGGTAAGGCGCTGGACTCCCACGTGGCCAACTGCAGTTAAGTTCTGGACATCATGGCTTCTTTTCTCAATTTCCCTTCCTCTCGCTCTGTCTCTCTCTGATCAAATTAAAAAATAAATAATAACAACAAATAAAATTAAGTAAATAATCTTTAAAAATATTTGGAAAAGAAGATCTGGAATTTTATTCTTGATTTGTCATTGTTGATGTTATTTACCTACGTACACATACTGTTTTTGTTTTAAGAGGTTTTTGCTATAGGGCGCGTGAGCTCGCCAGAAAGACAGAGACAGAGAAACAGAAAGTGAGAAATCACTACCCAGGGAGGATGGCCACACCGCAATACTTTCTTCTCCATTCTCCTCTTGGGATCTTGGGCATGCACGCACACGCACCCAGCAGGAGTTTAAGCCTCGGTTCCAGGACTCGAACCCCAGTCGACTACATGGGAGTCCAGCCACATAGCCATTACGCCAACTGCTAGTCCCCACGCACTGTTTTAAGAAACTATAAATGTAACATGGACCAGATAGTTGCATGGTAGTTAAGCTGGCTGATCTCATTTGGCCAACTGTGCCATCTGAATCCCAGATACTGGAGACAGAAACCAGTGCAGGCCTGAGAGATATCCAGAAGGGAAGAATGCAGGAGGGAGCCGAAGGCAACCCAACTGCCGACCAGAATGCCACAGGGACTGCATGGTCAACCGGATGGAGCTCCAGGCATGGGCTGTGTCTCAAGATGTTGGATGACATTCCGCAAGCCAAGTTGTTTTCTAAATACCAAGTTAATGATAGCTATCGACCTTGTACCAGGAATATAACCACAAAGAATGTCCTGTACATTGTACGTTATTCTTTATAGCTAAACTCGCCCACTGCTTATCTGATTTAATTTGGAATAAACGGGCTCTGCTCTGGCGCAGTTTTGCTTCTGCTCCAAGAGAACTTTAGCCCCCTGCTTTAACCTTTTCCTCGTCTCTTTCTCAATCCTTTGCAACACTCTACCTTCAAGCCCTGAATTTCTCATAGCCAGACTCAGTGGCTTGAAAAATACATGAGGAGTCGTGTCCATGTATGCCCAAAATCCTGAAGGGAGAAACAGAGGAGAAGGGACTATGGTGTGACCATTTCCCCATGGGGAGTTGCGTTCTCACTTTCCCTGTGTCTGTCTCTCTCTCTGATGAGTGCGCCCTCTAGCAAAAGAAAAAAAAAAAAGAGTACAAACTTTTTTCCCCAAATATTTTATACCTGTGATGTCTTATTCTATTCATGTTTTATTTTTTAAACACAGACGAGACAACTACTAATTATTTTTCCAGTGCTCTTTCCTGCTTACTTACAAGTATCTGCAAAGCTCTTTCAAATTCAAGGTTGGGGTGGAGAGGTGTCTCTCTCTGTCCCTCTGGCGAGCACACCTATCTAACTCAAAGGCATTTTTGCCCTATAGCAAAAATCTCTCTTAAAAATAAAACAAAATAAACACTCATGTTTTCATGAGCAGTACATCACTCTCTTTTTGTTGTAAAATCCAATACTCATTTTAAAGTAAGAAAAAAAATAACATACCACTCACAAGATACTCCATATTTCTAAATTTTACTATTCTTATAGGTTTGTAGAAGATAAGACTAAACTAAGATTAACAAAGAGAAGTGGAAAGGAAGTACAAAGGAAGCAAGAAGGGCCTCTAAAACAAGGAACTTCTTAAATACTGTACTCAACTTATTATGTCTAAATTGTTCGGTCTCTCCTGATCTTTGACCCTACACTATAATATCTTTCCAGTCATTTCGATTCCCTACATAAGAGGCCACAAGGGTCAATACTTCAGTTGAGGGCCAGCATATTCCTCGCTATATTTACCTTCCAGTAAACCACTGACAGATGAGGAACAGCAAACAAGTCAAACACACAGGGAGCGCACTACAAATTTGGTTCGGGGGTTTCAATCAATATTGATCTTCTAGATACCATTTCAGCCCGAGAACAATATAAAAGACCAGGCTTTTCTGAGATACTCTAAACACGTGGGTCTTTCTAAGAGGCAGGGCTGGGTGGGTTCAGAATATCCAGAGCTATCGGGAACCAGCAGTTAGCGTAATGGCTATGTCACTGGACTCCCACGTAGTCGACCGCGGTTCGTGTCCCGGACCCGGTGGCTTAAAACTCACGCCGGGCGCGTGTGCGTGCGTGCCCAAGATCCCGAGAGGAGAATGGAGGAGAGGGGATTGCGGCGTGACCATCCCCCCTGGGGGGTGATTTCTCGCTTTCTGTCTCTATGTCTCTCTCTGTCTGTCTGGCGAGCGCACACGCCCTACAGTGAAAATCTCTCCAAAAAAAAAAAAAAAAAAAAAGTAAAAAAAAAAGAATATCCAGAGCTATCAAGAACAGATAATAATCCAAACCCAGGGTAAAGTCAATTCCAATGTACCAAAATGAGGCCCCATCTGGAGCCACGCCAGACACTGAAGCCACTCCATCAGGCTGATCCGACACCAATGAACTGCAGAAACAGGATCCACCTTTGAAGTAAGTCATCTATTTTTTTATAGCCAATATGAAAGGGAAAAACAAAGTGAAACAAAAATAGAATTTCTAATACAGTGCCAAGGAATGGAATTACTTTCCTAGAAATGAGCTCTGCTGCTGAAGTGGAGTTCATCATCCACTATGCCATCGAGTACTTTTACCTCTGCCACTCTGGGAGCTGGGTATTTAAATAACGCAATCCTCAATTTTTTTGCCTGGACTTTTATCCTCATATTGTTGAGACACCTATCTATCTCAAAGGCATACATGAAATAAAAACAAAAATTCCATCATGTACAAAACCTTTACCCTCTTCCAAAAGAGACCTAATTTTTTATACTGTTAACTTCACTTTATTAAAAAAGAATTATTTAACTTCACTTATTTATTTATTCTGACCAGAGAAGGACAGAGAGAAAGAGAGAGAAAGTGAGAAAGCAAGCCCCCAGGTCCGGGACTCAAACTGGGATCAAACATGTGGGAGTCCAGCGCCCTAACTACCATGCTATCTGCTGACTCTGACTTTTTTTTTTTAATAATTTTTTTCTTTATTTATTTTTAATGTGACCAGATAGGGACAGAGTGAGACTGAAAGACAGAGAGAGAGAAAGAGAGAGAGAGAGAGCGAGCGAGCGAGCTGCCAGGTTCGGACTCAAACTGCATTCAGCCATATGGGAGTCCAGTGCCCTTAACCACCATGCTATGTGCTGGCCCTGACTTTTTTTTTTTTTAAGAATTATTTATTTAATTTTATTTATTCATTCATTTATTTTAATTTGAATCAGAGAGAGAGAGAGAGCGAAAGTGAGAATGCAAGCCACCAGGTCCAGGACTCAAACCACAATTGGCCATGTTGTCCAGTGCTTTAACCACCATGCCACCTGCTGGTCCCATAGCTTTACTTTTTTTTTTAAAGAAATATTTTATTTAACTTCTTATTTCTTTATTTTAATTTGACCAGAGATGGACATAGCAAGAGAGAGAAAGTGAGAAAGCAAGCTATCAGGTCCAGGACTCTAACTACAATCAGCCATGTGGATGTCCAGTGCCCTTAACCATGCCACCTGCTGGCTCCCCCGCAATGACACTTTTTAAAAAAACTTTCGGAGGACCATTAGATGGCATACGGTTATGTCACTGGACTCCCACATAGTCAACCATGGTTCAAGTCCTGGACCCAGTAGCTTAAAACTGACACTGGGGGTGTGTGCGTGTGCGCCCAAAATCCTGAAAGGAGAATCGAAAAGAAGGGATTGCAGCGTGCCCCCCAGGGGGGCTGCGGTGTGATTTCTCACTTCTGTCTCCCTCTCTCTCTCTGTGTCTCTGGAGAGTGCACATGCCTTATAGCAGAACTCTCTAAATTTTTTTTTTGTTTTGCAAAATAGCATATGTACTTGCCAGAGAGAGACAGAGAGAGGGGAAAGTAAAGTGAGAAATTACCCTTCACCGGGACCAGCAGTTGGCGTAATGGCTATGTCGCTGAACTCCATGTTTGAGTCCCGGACGCAGTAGCTTAAACTCACACTGGGCGTGTGTGCGTGTGTGCCCAAGATCCGAGAGGAGAATGGAGGAGAACACAGGAGAAGGGATGGTGGCATGGCCATCCCCCTAGGGGGTGATTTCTTGCTTTCTGTCTCTCTGGTTCTCTCTGTCTTTCTGGTGAGCGCACACACCCTGTAGCAAAAACCTCTCCAAAAAAAAAAAAGGAATTACTCTCCATGAGAAAGGAATCCCTCTTCACCATCTCTCCTTCTGTTCAGTATTCTGGGCAAACACGTACACACACATGCATGCACACACACACACACACACACACACACACACAGCAAGATTTCTTAAGCTGCCAGGTATCAGCCATGTGGGATCCAGTCACCTTAACCATTGTGCCACAAGCTGGCTGTCACTTCACTTTTAAATCATTTCAGTACAAGTTTAAATAGATAAAAAAGTACATCAGATAATATGGATGTCCACCATTAAAATCTGCTAACCCAGAGCAACAAATTTAATTCCTTTTAAGCTTACACTGGAGAAGAGCAGGAAAACAAGAAGTTGGTTTGTTTGGGAGGGATGTGGGTTTCTAGTCTGAGCAGTCATCTAAGGAAATTCAACAAGTGGTTATATCATATCTTTGTATGCTTTTATTGAACATTCAGGAAATACTCTAATTTCTCTTCTAGCTCCTCTTCTCTATAGACTTTTTTTTTTTTTTTTGGTCCATGTATAGGGCATTTGTTCGTAGGGAAGCCACACATTTTGTGCTCCTTGTCACAGTGACCCCAAATTCCTGTTGGGTGTGTTGTAAACAGATGAGCCATTCTCTAGGCCCCCTGCTCTGAGCACACCCCATCGCTGGACTTTTAAAAAAAACATATTCTTTTTAAAAATGTTTGCTTTGTTTGGATTCTGTGTGCTCCTAAGAAAAAAATATTTTAAAAAATTTTCCTATAGGGCACATGGGCTTGCCAGATAGCGAGAGACCAAGGGGGGTGGGGGGGGATGGCCATCCCACAATCCCTTCTCCTCCATTCCTCTCTCGAGATTTTGGGCAGGGATGCATACGTGCCTAGCCTGTTTCTTAAGCCACCAGTCCCAGACTTTAACTGCACTGTCAGCCATGTGAGATCCAGCACAGAGCTTATTTAGCGTCCACCAGTTGTACATGTACTCATTCTGTGTGCCTTTGTGGTCTGAAGTCATCACTTGGAGGCAGTAACGGAAAAGAGCAGTGTCAGAAGACCTGGGTCTCGGCACTAGCTGTGTGACCTTGAGTATGTCATCCTAATCTATAAATAGGAAACAATATCTGGCCTAATATATAATAGCAAACTATTCCACTTACATCAAATTGAATACCTGTTATAATATTTTTGATGAGACAAGGGAAAAGATTCTTTTTGTCATTCTTTTTGTGAAAAGCCTGTACAGAGCACAGGCTGTACAGTCAGGATTCCTGTGTTTCTTAATTCTGGCTGTTACTTGTGTGATCCTGGACAAATGACTTACTCTCCTTGCTTTCAATCGCGTGTATACCTGAGACAATTCCCACCTCAGCAGATTGTTGCAGGAATGAAAAGAGATAGCTGAATGACCATTCATTCAACCTATCCAGCCACTACTCTGCTTAATGCAACAGGGTTAAAATCTATCTCCTATGTATGTGCCATACATGTGCTAGCCTGACAGGGATTTAAAAAAAAACGACTAAGACATAGTAAAGCTAAATCATGGCAAGAAAATACTCAATTTTCTACTCACGCGTCTTCTTGGATCCAATCCTAGTTACCTGACACGCTCACGTGAGCTGTTACAAATGAATTTAAGACTGAACCCAAGAGCTCAATGTCAGGTCTGGATTCAGAAGATAATTTTGAACTTACAAAAAAGACATGTTTAATTTAGCTGTTTACCAGTGGAATGTGCTTGATTAAATACACACAAGGTCACAAATGAGACAAAGACCAGAGATGAAAACACATATACAATATATAACTACTATAAAATCTGGCATAGGATAAGGGCTCAGCAGTATTTGTTGAAAAAAGCTGAGTCTTGGTTCCAACTCTGCCACTTCCACACGGACTCAGGGTAAGTTAACATCTCTGATCCTTAGTTCTCAGTAAAACAGAAATGTGTCTTTTTTTTTTTTAACCCCTCTCATGGGTAGTTGTGATCAAATGAAGCTATATATGGCAATATATCTGAAGGGTAATGACTACCCAATAAGCCTACAAGTCCAATTGCAGGAATATGTTAATATGTAACCACCAGGTGAGAAACAGCTTCCAGGTAGTAAAAAAGCCCGCAACATATTTTCTAAGGATGTCACCGTCCTCGCCAAGCAGGCGCTGTGGCTTTTCTAACCCCTGACTACACAGCAGCAGGCTCGGCTGAGCGGCACCTTGCAGGCGGAAGCCCCCCGTGGGTGCGTAGGCGGTGGGGCGCAGATCTCGCACAGGGAGGAGGGCGGCCGGGTCCCACCGTGGCTCGGCCCCGACAAACAGTACAGGCAAGGTGCCTTTGTATCTAGCGGGGTAGAGAGCGAGCACTCGCAGCCACCTTCGCCTTGCACTGAG